ACATAATATATATATATATATATATATATATATATATATAAAAAATATAAAAAAAAACATGAACATGAACATGAAAAAGGAAAAGTCAGTGGCACAAGCTTCCCATACCTGCTTCACAGATGTAGGTTACAAACACCAGGACAAGTAGCGTTAGTATTACCTGTCTGCGTGGCCCCATGTCTCACCTCAGCTCTGAGCTCAGAGTCCTGCTGCTTTGTACCTCACCTGAGAATCAAGCCCATCCCACAGAAGCCGTCTCAGAGGGGTGTGTCCTTCAGCATCCGCCCCAACAGATGAAACTGGACCAAAACAGGAATGTACATTTACATACACCAAAGCCAGTAAGAAACAGACAGCTGGTTTTATCTGAATATGTGTCACTGAATGTTGTGCTGCTTACAAACTTTAAGTACATTTTAGAAGTGGTGAGTTGGCACATAAATAATATACTAATATTTCATAATATTTACTTAAATATTGCATATACACTTTTTGTTTATTCATTTTTAATAGCTACTGTGAATACAATAAAAAGGGACAGAGGGATACATTGGTGTCATCATATGTATTTAAGATGTTATAATTGTGTACAGTTATTCAGTTATTATATCCACTGGCCAATGTGAAATTTTTGTATGCTATCATTCATGTTTTTGTTGTTTCATGGATCATTTTGTTTGTCGTAACAGTCTGATTGCCTAAATTTTGATTACATATATCACCAGCCTTGATGATCCTAAGAGACTTCTTTCAAAAACAAATAAATAAATACATAAATAAGATAAATATGATTTAAAAAAAAAAAACGAACCAAGTGCAAACGTTTGAATAGTAGTGTAACTTTAAGGTATGGTCTAAACTTAAACTATCCTTCAAATATGAAACTACTATGAGATATTCACTTGAGTTAAACATGACAACTAACTTCTGTCTCTGTTCTTTTCTTATTAGTAATAGCTAAATGTGCTTATCAAGTGATTATCACCTTTTTAGAGTGCATGTTGTATTCAATAATTCAATTATTAATTGCATTTTAAATGAAAATGAATCATATAAATGTGTGTTGGAGTGGTTTGCATTTACACCTGTAGCATCTCCTTAAAATGTTGTGTTCATGTTTAGACTGTTGTGTTGCCTGTGCCATCATTCAGTTCAGGTTTGCAGCTGCCTCACGTCAAACAATTTAGCCCTTGTTTACTAGAGCACAACAAATCGGATCCTGAAGATTCTTAGGGATTAAACAGATTAGAGGTGGATAGCGTGTTTTTGTGGACAAGGGGTATACCTTGTGATTCGAGGTATAGTATTACCTGTCCCTCTAATTAAGAAGCTATCAAGAAGCTGGATGGAGGGCAAGATGGAGACTTTCCATCAGTGGAAGAAAAAAATAATCTACCTAGGACCCATTAAAGTGAACCCGAGCATGATAACCCCAAACCAGGCCCTGTGACCTCCTGTATTATCACACCATTTCACTTTTAGAGCATCTACTTAAAATTCACAACACACACATTATTCTCTACTGTTTCACTTTAGAGGTTTGTGAAATTCCACAAGTGGAAAATCTGGATGCCTGGCTTTGCAGACACGGAGCTGGCGGTATCTAAATAGAATGGAGCTTGTTGGTGCATGCAGATGGATCAAATGGCTTTCTTTGCAAGTGTGTTTTAAAAAAGCAGAATGTCTTCCATGTCAATTCCAACTAATTCTTATGACAGGAAAAAAAGAGACACAAAAATATATGCACCATTAATATCTTTATTGATATGAAGCATGTGTACTTTTTTCTTTATTGTGTAAGTTCAGTTTATAACAATCAAAAGGTCATTGCTAAAGCTACAAAAATGTAACCAGCCTACTCTTATATTTGTTTTATGATTTTGACTGCAATAACATGACAATTAAATGAACATTACTAAAGCAACACATTGATTGTTGTATTATCTAGTGGCTTCAGAAGCCAGAAAAGGCAGAAATTACATATTGTAATTGTATTGTAGTGCATGTTTTTTTTTTCTCAAAAAATGGTCTGTTTAAATGATCATAAATCAAAGCAAACCAGTTGAAAACATTTTTTTTCCTGATACACAATTATATTAGGGGACACTTCATAAAGATAATACTATGAAGAAAATTCTATGCAACACACATCAGGCAGCCCATGCTGTTGTATTACATTAACAAAGGCACATGTTTTTACACAGGTTTAACTTTCTGACATGTCAAATTAAATGGTTAGTTTCATGTAAAAGTACATCATCATTTTAGCCATCATTGTAGTGACGATCAATGTTAAATGTATTTTTTTTTCTGAGGAGTAAAATTAATTTTGCTTGCACTCTTGTAATGTCTCAGAGTTATGCTGCAAATCAAGGGTGATGAAAGCTGAAAAGTAATCATAGTTGTTATATTCTCATTTAAAAGTGATAAGTGCTTATTGTTAATTATAAGAGACAATGTTTAAAAAGTAGGCAATGAACAAAATATTTGGCAGTTTGATAAGAAACAAGTCGTCTATAATACTGATATGTTTGTCTAATTACCGTCTTATAAATGTTCTGCTTGATATTTAGAGAGCAATAGATTGTTTATTCACTCTGAAACGTATCCCTGTACCTTGTTTTCACATTTTCATTGGTTACACTTTACTTGAAGGGGTGTGCATAAGACTGACATGACACATGTCATGAATATGAAGGGTTTTTATGCATGTTTATGACAACTGTCATTAAGTGTCATTCGCTCACTTATGTCATTTTTAATGCAAAGATGACATTGTTTGAGATGTCTTTGTTATGGGCTATGGTTAGGGGTAAGGGTAGGTTAGGGTTAGGTCAAATAATGTCATATTTGCATTAAAAATGACATAACTGAGCGAATGACACTTAATGACAGTTGTCATAAACATGCATACAACCTCCTTCATATTCATGACATGTGTCATGTCATGATTATGTAGGTGTCATGTCAGTCTTATGCACACCCCTTCAAGTAAAGTGTTACCTTTTCATCTAATGTGACAGAACCAGAACATAGCTGTCCATCCATGCATGCACACAAACTCATAAGCAACCTGGGCAGTTCATCTTTTACCCATTTAGTCCAACTCAGAGCAGAAAAGAAAAACAACAACACTCCTTTTCTCATTGCAGTCTCTTGAAACCTCTTAAGCGTCAACCTCCTCATGATGTGAAAGTGTAGCAGAGACTCTTATCCTTTTCTCTGCCCTCTCTGAACCTGCTACAGCGAGAGGTGAGGGTGTTGTGGGTGTGAAACAGGAAGTAGAGAAGCGCAGTCATGTGAGTGGTGTTTAGGAGCTGCAGCAGGTCTCTATGTTACTGGCTGTGCACGAACACACATGGATCCAGGCTTTGTTTACACCCCTACACTTCCTTCTCTCCAGAACTAGCAAATGATGTCCGTCTCAGGTTCTCCTTCACTTTTATGAACTCTGGAGCACTGCAGTTGCTATCCTCCAGTCTTGCCGGCTCCTTCTCCAGCTAAGGTAGAGAGACAGATAGATACACTATTTGGTGAATATTTGGTTGGTGGTTTGCAGATAAACAGGATATATCTAACCCTAATAAAGAGTGTTTACTATGTTAGGACCTCTGAAATACATGTGAAAAACTGAAAGAGCATCACTGTCAAGTCACTTAACTTTTATTTATATAGCGATTTATACAATATAGATTGTGTCAAACCAGCTTTACAATGCCAAACATGAAAATAGATATAGTGATAGTTACAGTAATCATACACTGTATGATTGTATGATTCCTACCTCGTCTAGTTTCTGGTGTCTCTTGAGAAGTTCATGTTCCAATTGAGAAATTTTCCTCCTGGCCTCCTCATCCTGCTTTTTCTGTTTAATTATCTGCTCTCTTTTCCTTTCTTCCAACACACGTTGCAATTCTGGCTTATTCTCCACACCAATACCTCTGAATATAATAGAACAAAATAGAAAAATAAATGATAATAAATGAGCGAGAGAGGGGGGTATACAGAATACAGAATAAACAACAAAATATATTGTAGTAGAATATAATGGATTAATAATGGAAAATGAAAAAAAAAACATGAAAACACAAACATGACAATAGAGTAGAGTAGAGTAGAATAGAATAGAATAGAGAACAAACAGTACATTAACATCATTAGCTGATGCAGTCCGTCAGTCATCCAGCAGGTAGCAGTATTGTTACGTTTAATCAGATTTGTGTGCTTCATAGTTATTTTTTGTTTTGTTCCTAAATTGGATAAAGATGTGTGAACGCATGAAAAATATATTATTCATTTCTGGAAATATGTTATATTACAACCTGTGAAAATATGTAGAACTGTTTGATTGTAAAATCTGATTCTGTATGATGCAGAACACCCATTAGTTTCATGTTGTTCTTACCCTTCATGTTGCCAGTGTTATGACTTCCCATCTTAGTCATGGTTGAGGCCAATCTCATTGATATTGGAATCATTTTGACAGCCCTGACATATGCATTATGTGCTTGTTTGTATAAGTGCAGTTTAACTGTATATGAGTCTTCCATCTATTACAAACATTGCATATGCTCTCATGACTGTTCTCAAGGTGCCAAGCTGCTGCTAACACACGCACACACACACACACACACACACACACACACACACACACACACACACACACACACACACACGTCTGGTCAGCTATCCTTGTGGGGACTCTCCATAGGCGTAATGGTTTTTATACTGTACAGACCGTATTTTCTATTGCCCTACACCAACCCTACCCCTAAACCTACCCCTCACAGGAGACTTTCTGCATTTTTAGATTTTCAAAAAACTTCATTCTGTGTGATTTATAAGCTTTTGTACCCGTGGGGACAACAATTTAGGTCCCCACCGTGACACGAGTCCCCATGAGTCTGTTAAAAAAAAAAGTAATTCATTACTAATTACATCCTCAATATTGTATTTAAATTACTTTTCTAATTACTCTGAAAAGTAACTTAATTACTCAATAAGTAACTGAATTATTCATTAATTGATTAATAAATCCCTATAAACCTTTTTGCATAGAAATTAAATTCTTAATTATTTTAGTTGGAATATGTACTACATGGAATAGTTTAACCTTTTAGCTTTAAAACAACTGTAATACTTAAGCATTTTAATAAAAAAATGTAACCTTCTTTAGTTAACAAATAGAATTACTCTGCAAAATATCCGAATAACAAAACATCTTAAGAAAAGTAAAGTTTTAAGTAACTTGTATAAATGTGCCAGAAGAAAACATTACTGGTGCATCTTGAGATAAAACAACGGAACTGACATATTTTAAGATATGTCAGTGCAAGTTTCTTTCAGTTAAAACAACTCAGAAATGTATTTTAGTCTGCGACTGAGCTTAAAGGGTTAGTTCACCCAAAAATGAAAATTAGCCCATAAATTACTCACCCTCAAGTCATCCTAGGTGTATATGACTTTCTTCTTTCAGACGAATCCAGTCGGAGTTATATTAAAAATTGTCTTTGATCTTGCAAGCTGTTTCATGGCACTCAATGGCTGTTGCATGCATCAGTCCAAACGCAGTTAAATAAAATGTGCCCATCCATAAAAAAAAGTGTCTCACATGGCTCCGGGGGGTGAACAAAGGCCTTCTGTAGCGAATCGATGCGTTTTTGTAAGAAAAATATCCATATTCAAAACGTAATAATCACTTTAATTTAGCTTGCGCTCACTGTTATACACTGGAAGCAGTTCCGGGTGGATGACGTACGAGGTCAGCGTTGCGCATGCGCCGGTGAGTCTCGTGAAAACCAACGTTTGTTACTGTAACAGGAGCAAAGGAGGCAAAGTTTCCTTACTTTAGCAAAGGCAAACCAGTCTCCTCTTGGCTTATATCGAAATCCTCCGACATTCTTCTTTACAAATCCTCGTTTTGTACTTCTAATTAGTGACCGTTGTTTTGTTTTGATCTCTCCGCTGCGCTTCCGCGTGCATAACTTTCTGAACGGAGCATGCGCAAAGCCGACCTCATACGTCAT